AAAAAAAAAAAAAAAAAGATTCAAGTTATTTCAGTGGAGAAAGATGAGGATCTTGGTCATTTCCAGCAGCAAATTAGAGGTAAGTCCTTAGGGCAACTGTTCATACACAAAGGACATTTGTAAACTGACCACCTGCAAGTTGAGGATTGTCTATGTTTTGAGGTGTCATGCTCCTTGAAATCTGTTCAGGATTTTATCTAGGAGAAGAATCTCATATCCAGGAAAATAAATGAGTCCATATTAATGGTCACAGTTAAGATACCACAATTTGTTGAGGGCTCTGTTGCCCAACTCCCCTGGGGTCCCTCCTATTCAAGGTCTTTTAGATAGGTGAACTGCAGAAATCCCTTTCAGAGTAAAGGTTCTAAATCCCAGGATTCACTTGGTGCCTTTAAACCTAATTGTTATTGAGTCACAAAGTACCATGCCCTTTGGGTAATAAATTCAAAGTTAATTTTGCAAATCTGAAAAGAGAAGGGGGTTTGATGTTAGCTTTCATACTTGAAAATCATAAAAAGGATATAAAAATATTATGCTCTGTATTCCTCCCATCTACATTTAGTATAAAACTAAGTCTATTTTCTCAACAGATGATGGATGGCCACATAACCAAAGATTAATTAGACGACTTTACTCAAAAGATACAATTTTATTAAGGGCAATCTGGCATCATCTATCAAGATTTTTTTTAAAATAAATAATTTATTTTTGGCTGCATTGGGTCTTCGTTGTTGCACGCGGGCTTTCTCTAGCTGCGGCGAGCAGGGGCTCCTCTTTGTTGCGGCACGCGGGCTTCTCATTGCGGTGGCTTCTCTTGTTGCGGAGCACGGGCTCTAGGCACACGGGCTTCAGTAGCTGTGGCACGCAGGCTCAGCAGCTGTGGCTCGCAGGCTCTAGAGTACCAGGCTCAGTAGTTGTGGTTCACGGGCTTAGTTGCTCCACGGCGTGTGGGATCTTCCCGGACCAGGGCTTGAACCCATGTCCCCTGCATTGGCAGTTGGATTCTTAACCACTGTGCCATCAGAGAAGTCCATCTATCAAGATTTTAAATGCATGAACCATTTGAACCTGTAAGTCCACTGCAGGGATGTATCCCATATATAAAACCTCAAAAAGATATTAGTGCATAGATCAATACTGCAACATTGTTTTCAATAACAAAATTCTGAAAACTTCCTAAATGTCCTTCAATAGTGGACTGGTTAAATACATAAGTGTAAATCCATTCAGTGGACTATTATGCAACTCTTAAAAGAAGGTATGTGTGGAGATCTTTATGTGAGGTAGATTTACACATGTAAAGCTGTACATACTCTATTATTGTAGAAAAGGCAGGTTACAGAATAATATATATTCAATGATCCTACTCTATAATTATTTTTATAGTTGATTTTTTGACATTATAATAAAACCCCCACAAAGACTGTACAAGCAGTCTTCTTATAAAGTTACTAACAAATATGACATACATCAGACTTAGTAGAGCCGACTTACATTTAATATCTGCATACATATGGCTGATGGTAAATCTATCTTTGCCTTCAGGTGCCCAAGCAATTCTTTCTGCCATGAGGTACAGAGCTCCATCCTGCTTCTTTTGTCGCACCTTCTTTACAATCAGCAAAACTTCTTCAGATGAAGTTGCCATGACGGCTAGAAGGTGCTAAAAAAGACAAAAAGATTTCACATCTCAGTTAGGGTTGGATTCATTGACTTGAGTCCCTTCCAAATCTAAAATGAGTAATAAGGTGGGAAAAAAGTCTCTTCCCTCTTTCAGAGTTGAAGATAAAGCTGTATGGCATTATTCCTTTAAAATCAAATTTCATTTTGCTCATACCACAGGTATGAATTTACACAACACTGCAAGTTGACAACACCTGGCAGTTTTCAAACCATTTCCACATATGCTAATCAGAGTATTTTCTATTTATTTTTATTTTCCTGTTATATTATTAAACCTTAAACACATGATTTGACTACAAATATGTGGTCTGTAACCTATATTGCAGAACTTTAGAATTACACAGCATTCTATTGGATATTTAGTTCAAATTTGTTTCGACTGAAAAAACTAAGAGCCAAAGGGTTTTATGTGACCTTCCTAAAACCACTCCTAGATCTAAAACCTGGTCTAATATGCTTAAAAAAAAAAAAAAACTGAAAGAATTCAACACTTAACACTTCAGATGCTATCTTCCCCATCTTTTAACAATCAAATGTCTTCAACTGTTCTCCAGTCTAGGCGGAAGATTCATTTGTATATGGCTAATTTGTTACCTAGGAAGAAACAGCTTGGAGCTCCCCCCAAGTTCACCCCATCCTGGGAATCTTAACCACCCAACCCAAATCCTAGAGTCTTGAGTGTAGCTGTCTGGAATATGAGGCTGAAAAGGATTTTGAGGCTGTCTGGGCTCAACAGGAAAGATGCCATGATTGATGAAGTCTGCCACGGGCTGTGATGGGGAAAGTGGTGGCACAAATGGCACATATATGCCATTTCTGGTGAAGTTATGACTTTAGCTTCCATTCCCAAAGGAACGATTTAAAATATAACTTAAAAATATTTACTTCTTCAGGTACAAATTATAATTTCAGAGAAGTTAGCATATCTAGGTGTCAAAAGAATTAAATTTGAGCAAACAAGTGAAGTTTTATTGTAACATTTCTTATTCACTGAAACAGTGATTTAAAAATCAAAAATACAAGTAAAAAAAAAAGAGTGAAAGTTTAATTTCTCTGAAGTTGACTACCTGAATTTTGAATAGCCAGATCTTCCCTTTTAGTTTCCTTACAGGCTACTCCACCCCAAAAATGGAAAGGAAAAGGGTCAGTGTGAATACATTTATTCAATAGTTCTGTACTGAGCCAAGGAGTCTAGGGATTACCGGAAGACACATGTCTGCCAGTAGTGATTTCTGCTTTGAGAAAGCTTCCAGTCTAGTGAGCAAGATGCGTGTGTGTGTGTGTGTATACAAATTAGAATGTGTAAAGTCCCAAAAGGGAGACAAAAAACAGTTCTGAATTAGGACTCAGAGGCAATTAACTTCTTCACATGAGAGGCTTTGTCAAATATTTGTCACAGATATCTTAGGGCAATAAAAAAAATTCAGTTATAATTAACTGAACAAACAAGAGGCAAATCACTAAATGCATAGTCCTTAGGTGTTCCGTTTGATGCGTTTTGGCAACGGTATACACCCGTGTACCATTACCCAAAACGAGACAGAGAACATTTCCATCACCCCCCAATTTCTCTCATGTCCCCTTCTAGTCAATTCTCTTCCTCCCACCCTCGAGCAACTGTTTTCTGATTTCTATCACCACAGATTAGTTTTTATCTGTACTAGGATTTCATATAAATGGAATTCAGGCACTATGTACGCTTTTGTCTCTGGCTTTTTGCTTAACGTGTTTTTGGAAATTCACCACATTATTACATGTATCGGTAGCTTATTCTTTTTTATACAGAAGTTAGTTATGAACTGGGTCTTGAATGAGGGTTTTGACAGAGAAAAGGCAATAAGCATTATAGGCAAAGAGAACGGCTTGGGGCAAAGGCTCCAAACTCTCTGCAAATGGTTAGTAGTCCACTCTGGATGTAGCACAAAGTTCATGATGGGGATCAGTGGGATATGAAGTTGGACAGTTAAGATGGAGGCAGACAGTGGAGAATACCCCCCTATGTGGCAGACAACAGAAAACTTCTAAAGATTTGAATAAGGGAGTGATTTGTATTTTAGGAAATTAATCTGAGGCAATATGAGAGAGACTGAAGGGAGGACCAGAAAGGGTCTGAACCAGGCTGGTGGCAGTGAGAATGGAGAGGAAGAGACGAGGAGGAGTACTGAGGAAGCAGGATGAATAGACACTGTGCTGAAGGAGGTATCACAGCTGCTTGCTCATACCCCACTTTTAAGCCTAACTGACATGAGTACAGCGATGCCACTCACAGAAACAGTAACAAGGAAAAACAAGTTTGAAAGTGAAGGCAAGGAATTCAGCTCTGAAAATGAGTGTGAGGTGCTGTTGAGTCACGCAGGTAGAAATAGTCTGTATTATGTGGGCATTTATAAATGTTGGGACAGAGCCTAGTAAGTTCAGTTAACAAAAAGGGATTTAAAAAATGCCACAATCTCACAACTTTAACATCAATTTTCTTAATTTTAAATTGTGCTTATCTGTACTCACCTTACAAATGTAATCATGAAGTACAGCCAAGTTAATTATCTTATTTGCCATTGAAAACATTTTCCCATGTTACTTTACAATCTCCACAGTTTTAATATCCATACATTATATATGATAAAGGATCAAAATTCTTAATATATAATACCATCTTTTAACTGATTTACTTATTTGATGTCCTCCAAAGATTTTGATTAGAGGATTACTGTCGCTTAAAAAGCTTGAAAACCACTGTTTTAAAGGACTATTTTTTTTTTTGGCTGTGCCGCAGCTTGTAGGATTTAAGGTTCCCGACCAGGGACTGAACCTGGGCCCTTGTCAATGAAAATGCACAGTCCTAAGCACTGGACCATCAGGGAATTCCTTAAAGGACTATTTAATGACATGAAAAGATAAACTGTTAGGTGATCAAAGCAAGCAAAAAAAAGCATGTAGTTTGATTCCATATTCTTAAATTTTAAAAAACCTTCTAAAATTTATTGAACGCTTATAATATGTGCCAGGCATTGGGCTAAGTTCTTTATAGGCATTACCTCATTCAGTCCCCAGTTAACAATCCTCAGGTAGGTTCTATTATTAGCTCTATTCTGCAGATAAAGGAAATTGGGTCTGAGAGATCAAGATGCTTTCCCAAAGCACCAAGAAGTAGAACTGGGTTTGAATCTGGATCAGTCTGACCTTAGAGTTCCATTATGCTATTTTGCAAATATATATGACTGGAGAGACATACACCCAATTTAATAGTGGTTACCTATGGTGATAGACTACAGATGATTTGAATGTTCTTTTTGTTTTCTGGACTATCTACAATAAATATGTATTTTGTAATGAGAAAAGCAGTTATTAAAAATGTCTTTCCAAGAGTTTATTTTCTATCAAACCACATCTATAAGGTAACATGGGAAGGTGTTAAGAGTTGGTAAGAATTAAAACTGTTATTTTCAATTTCTGTAATATGTGTACTATTTTTATTTAGTATTAAAACTTTAATTTATAATAATTTTTATAAAATCTATGGAACCATTAAATATTTTAATATTAATTTTACAATATTATAATAAACACGTAACTATTAAAAACATTTAAAAACCTGTCTATACTATGTAAAATTAAACTGCATACCATATGAAGCACATTTTAGGAAACATGAATTAAAATCTGAGAAAGATAGGAGAGGTGTGTGTGTGGAGGGGGATAAGCTGATAATTACAGGATAATTTTAAATATGTCCATATATGGAGGAAACACAAGGTTACAGCTGACAGAGCAAGTCACCAATTAACTGGGCTTACAGGCACAAATAAAAAGTGTTAACTTTGGAAAAGAACAAGAAAACCTTTCTGAGATGGGAAGGTAAGGAGAAAGATGAATGAAGAGAGAAACTGTAAAGTGGAGAATAAATTAGATTAATAGAACTATTAGAGTTGGCTACTTTAAATCAATTGGGGAAAAACATAGCCTCTTATGCATAGCATGTAAAACCATTCATATTAAAATCTATTTAGAGGGAGCTTTAAAAATAAATCAGAGATAAGTTATTGAACACTGGGAATAACTAGTCAATTGTCTCACAGCTAACCTGCTTGGCAAATTTCCCCTGGTCATCTGTAGCACCTCTGTTAATTGTACAAGGACCAGTTTTACGAAGTTTAATAGAACCAATAGGACCATCCTACAAGGGCTTCTATGATTTCTAGATTTTTCTTGAAGGTGGCTCCTTAGGTGGCAAAAACTTCTTTCTAGTAGAACTCTGTAAGAGCCACAGAATATTTTATGAAAAACATCGGTGCAGTTATATTTAAACAACGTGGCTTGATGAAGATCTAGCTTTACTTAAAAGATTATTTACTTTATGAAATAATCTGCCACAAGACTTCTTTAAACAGCAAAATCCTCCAGTAAAGGCATTTATTCATTTGCAGTTAAATATTTACTTGCTTGAGGGTAAAGGCACATGCATGCCTTGTGCTGAGCCTCTGCACATTCTCCTCCCTTTCCATCAACTAGCTTTTACTCATTTTCTGCCTACTCTAAGTTTCAAAGTTACAGTATTCTTCCCTTTACAACACTTATCACTACTGCAATTAATTTTTTAAAATTAATTAATTTAGTTTTGGCTGCGTTGGGTCTTCATTGCTGCGCGCAGGCTTTCTCTAGTTTCCGCAAGCAGGGGCTACTCTTCATTGCGGTGCGCAGCCTTCTCATTGCGGTGGCTTCTCTTCCTGTTGAGCACAGGCTCTAGGCACATGGGCTTCAGTAGTTGTGGCTCACTGGCTCTAGAGTGCAGGCTCAGTAGTTGTGGTGCACAGGCTTAGTTGCTCTGTGGCATGTGGGATCTTCCTGGACCAGGGCTCGAACCCGTGTCCCCTGCATTGGCAGGTGGATTCCCAACCACTGCGCTACCAGGGAAGTCCCTGCAATTAATTTTTAAAGTAATTCTTTTAATGCCTTTCTCCCCGAAAGACCGCAAGCTTCATAAAGAAGGGAAGAGGCTGCATGTGTTGTGTTCATGGCAATACAGAGCCCAGCAGCATATTTTAGTCCATAGAAATAGTCCAATAAATACCTATGACATCAATTTAAGATCTCTGTTCTTAAAAGAATACAGTCTTGGTTAAGACATAACAAGAAACCATTGTACATACATCCTCGGCTAAACTCCAGGAAGCACTAAAGCGCTCAACTCACAGATCAGAGTACCATTCCTCACAGATTCCAATAACTGGCTTATAAGTAAACAGGGATAGGAAGAACTTGAAACTATTCAGGAGAAATCTTTAAATTTCCATTTCCTACATCTCATGTCTGCATTTCCATTACCTACATCTCCTTTTCCAATGTGCAGAGATAAATGGGGCAGACGAAAAAAAGGCAACAAGTGAAATATAAACTCCTTATCACTCACTAAAAGGAGGATTGTTATTAGAGAAAGCGCTTCTGTGTCTGCCAGCATACAAAATGGAGACTGGAATGCTGCTTGCCATCAGGCAATCCTAAAAAATGTTAACAGTTCAGCACTACAGGGAATAAGACCTTGGAAGTATGTAAAGAGTGATCAAAATGTACTGTTTTAAGAATAGTTACACACATAAAGAAGATATTAAAGGGAATAACTGAGGTAGCAATTTTAAGACCGAGCACTTTTTCATTTTACAGCAGTGATGGGAGAGGCAGGAGGAGGAAAATGTGACAGAGACGCAAGATAGAGGGAAGAGTATGCTCATATTCACTAATAAATACTGCATGCTGACAAAGAGTATGATACCAAAATTGAGAGAAGAGCAATCAGTTGGTAATCATAAATGGAGCAAGGAGGGACTATTAGATGGATGCCTGACACTGTCACATTGCAGGCAGGAAAGAGAGAAAGGAGGAAGGGACACTTTTTTTTTTTTTTAATTAAAAAAACATTTTTTTTTTGGCCGTGCCATGTGGCATGTGGGATCTTAGTTCCCCGAACAGGGATCGAACCCATACCCCCTACAGTGGAAACAGGGAGTCTTAATCACTGGACAACCAAGGAAGTCCCCAAAGACACTTCTAGTAGCGGCATCCATGAAGTAGAAATAGTGGTCAAAATTCTAGGAAAGCTCAAGGTACACCTGACAACATTCTGATGGTAAGGGAAAAACCAGCAGCGCAGAAAAGCAGGGCTAAAAGGTATAGACAGCCCAGCAGGGATAAGATATAAGCCTTGAGAGCAGTTCGTACAGGAGGCAGCCACAACTGACTGAAGCTGATCATTGGGTGCATTCTTTTTAACTGATTCCTCTCTCTTTGCACCAACTTTCCTAGTAATTTTAAAGAGCCCTCTCTGCATTTGTGTGGATTTTTTTTTTTAACATTAGCACTACCATATGTATTTAATATCAAAGCTCATCGGTCTGATGCACTGCCAAATGTTAGATGAGTGGGAATAACAGAACAGGTTTAATGCCTCCAAATTCTCTCTCCCTTCTTTCCAAATAACGGATTTCCGGTCTGCTAAAAGGTACAAAGTTCTTTCCAGAGTCTAGATCTTTTGTAAGCCATAAGCCTGATACTAGAGGTTACCTTCTCCTCTGTTGTGACCTCTCCATCTCATTTGTTCTAGTTTTGATGTTTTTTAATCGATCTTAGGGTTGGCAGCTTTGGCTTAGTTACCAAAGCCCAGTTCATGATGTTCACACTGTGTTCCAAGAGGGGAGGCTGAGCGCTCCCAAACTCAATTCCACCATGGCATGCTGCTTTGTATGTTGGGGTTTCTGGTAAGAATTCAACGGGAAAAATTGTTCCACACCTTTATGAAATCAGTACTTACTGCAAGGTATATTTTAAACCACTTAGTTTTTGTACGTTTTTAAAACTGGGTCTTCTGATGGGCAAAAGGTTGTTTTTATCTCTCTCCTCCCGCCCCCCATTTTACAGACCCTAAAGCGGGCATTTAAGAGTCAACTGAATACACTTCCTTAAACAATGTAGTCTCTGAGAACACTGAGGAATTTCTAAAATAATTATTTATTTCCATGTGTTGGTGCTTAAAGATGATCAAATTGGGCACAGACCAAAATGTGATGTGTGTGTAGGGGGTTGGCCTGGCACACGGGTTAAGAAGGTTTTAAGAGTGGTAAGTTTGACAGGTAAAGCAAAAGGTGTGTGGACACTAAGGTAAAAGATTTTCCTTTACAGAAACTGAAAGACTCAACAGCACATTTTCTAACGGGACGGGCTCCTCAGCCCCAGAGAGGCCTCCGCGTCCTTCATTCTCATAAGCCAAGTCTGATCCCGGCTTTGAATAAATCTTCGAGTCCCTGCTTTCAGTGGAGAGGTAAGGCTTCCTACCGACAAGTAGACTAGGGGTCGCCTCTTCCTCGCTTCAGAATAATAAAGGGCTTGGGAGTTGTGGCAACGGCGACAGGGACACAGGAAAAAGGGGCAGATTCCGCGCCGTCCTGCAGCCCCCAGGCCTGTCAGCTCTTCACCCGCCCGCCCACCCCCATTCTTCGGTCTAAACTTACCAGGTGGGAGCTACGGCCTTGGGCAAGGAGTAAGTTACTGAGCTAAGTCGAGTCGAGTTCCGCTGCGCTTCTTAGAGACGCTGCCGGGAAGAGGCTGAAACCCAGCAGCCGCCGCCGTCGCCACCGCCTCTGTTACCGGGGGGTCTCGCCTCCATCGCTGGCTGCGAGAACTCTGAAGGCACGTGACCGGAAGTATCAAGGCGGGCCTGCGGGGCACGTGACCCCAGAGCGCGGCCGCCATGACACCTTCCGCTAGTTCCCTCCCTTCCCCGCCGGTGCCCGCGTGTTTCATTTCCTCTCGCCGGCTTTAAGCGGTGAAGGGTCCCGGGATCCTGCCTGGCTCACCCCTTTGGCCTAGAGCTCCTCCGGTCCCGATCGGCGCTGCGTCTTCGGCCGGCAGCGGCCCGCTTCCTGCAGGCCACAGAGAGCGTAATCGCGACCGCGGCCCGAGGGGGTGGGACCACGCGCCAGCAGGGGCGTAACCTGTCACGTGACGAGGAAGTACCGTTAACAGCTTTGTCCCAGCGTCCCCGGCGCTCCGGGATGACGTAAGCCAGGGAGGGGAGGAGCAGGAGGGGAGACTGAAACTCAGGTGCGGCTCTTAGTGCGCGGTGAGTGTTAACGGCACCTAGCCGGGAGAGAGGGTGTGACCCATTGGAATTTGGGGGCTACCGGCCTGGAGATGGTGGAGAGGGGCTGAGACCTACAGGCTGTGAGCCTGGCTTTGAAAACTTGATTACCGAGGCTCCTTTCAAGAGATCTGAGTATAGTATTAAAGTTACTGCTGTTAAAAAGTTAGGAGTTCCGCTAATCAGGGAGCTTGTGGTCAGGAACTGTCTGCAGTGGGGTGTGCAAGGCGTGCTGAGTGCATGAATGAGTGAGCCGCCATTTCTTGGTCTGAGGTGGAGAATTGTTCTCTGTTACTTCGGTTTAAAGATCCCCATTACGGGAATGAGGGAATCTCGTACTTCCCCTCCGCATAATATCTTTAATTTTTGCTTCCTTTCTTTTCTCTTTTGCCTCCTCTTCCTTCCACGCCCCTAGTGGGGAAGAAAGAAAGCTGTGATTTGCATTGGGTGATCGCGCAGCGAACACTAGTCCATTAAAATGAATAAAAATGAGTACTAGGACGAAGAGAAAAGCCTTTTCTTGATCCTACTGCTCCTTTAGTTACCATCAAGCAGTGCGGGGAAATGAAAAGGTAATTAGATTTGCACTCAGGATTAGTGGATTCTAGTCTCAGCTCTACTGGTGAACTCTGTGACCTTGGGCAAGCCAACACTTCAAAAAGTTCTTTCATTGACTTTGGTAAGCATTTATGACCACCTTCTATTTGCTTAGTTTTTTGCTAGGCTAACAGTGTGACAGACTTAACAGAAGTAATAGTTAAACTCGGTTCTGCAGGAAGATAGTGTTTTGTTAGATGGAGAAAGATTCAAGGAACAGCGTATATTAAACCATGGAGGCACAGAAAGTTTATAGAATGAAAGGTTTGTACAGAGCTTTTTGTTAAGCACGTACTTAACAAAATCTTGAATGTATATGTGTATGACGAAATCACTGTGCTGTACACTTGTAACTAACACAACATTGTAAATTAACTATACTTCAATAAGAAATCTTGTTCAAGAAAATTTAAAACATAGACAGAAGTAGACAGGATAATATAACGAACCCTCATGTACACCTAACCAAACTTTAACAGTTATCAGCATTCTGCTGTTCTTGTTTGAACAGTTTTAAATTTTCTAGGTACTTTTTATATCCATTATCACATTTGATTAATGGCAGCTTTCAATTTGAGCTCGATTCTACTGTATCTAGGTACTGGCTAGGAAGATTATATTCATTTTATTTGAAAATTTCTTTGGGTTTTAGTTAACTGCTTGCTCTGTTGAATCAAAAGTGTGACATGGCACATTGTAAAGCAATTATACTCCAATAAAGATGTTAAAAAAGAAGTGTGACATGGCTACTTTAAAAACTTATCTGGGGCTTCCCTGGTGGCGCAGTGCTTGAGAGTCCGCCTGCCGATGCAGGAGACGCGGGTTCGTGCCCCGTTTCGGGAAGATCCCACATGCCGCGGAGCGGCTGGGCCCGTGAGCCATGGCCACTGAGCCTGCGCGTCCGGAGCCTGTGCTCCGCAAATGGGAGAGGCCACAACAGTGAGAGGCCCGCATAACGCAAGAAAAAAAAAAAAAAAAAAAAGAATATTTTATGAAGAAACATGACTGTTCTAACAAGGTCAAGCAGTGAATAAGGTATGATAAAGAGGCAAAAGGCAGTGACCTGGAAATAGAATATGGCACCCAGCTTAATTTACTGTGTCTTCCCCAGTCCTGGCGTGATTCTCCATAGGCTCAGGCCAAAAAGAGCTGGTCCGATGCTAGCGCACACGCTGGGCAGACTGGAAAAACAAGTCTGATACTGTTTTAGGATGTAACAGAAATTTAGTGTCCAGGTCAAGGAACTTAGTGTTTCTACTCTATTCTGTGTATTCAGCTACTTAAGGAGTTTTATGTTCAGTTCTGGAGACCACATTTTTAGGCAAACTAAAGCTCTCGTGTGGAAGGCTGATCAGAACAGAGAGGAATTTGGAAATTGTCAGGTCAGGAAGAACTGGGGTTGATGAATTTTTAGAAGACCTCATAACACTTTTCAAATACTGAAGGACTGTTTTGAAAGGAGTGAACTTATTTCCTTAAACTGTAGAAGCCACAGTTGGAAATAAAAGCTCCAAGTCATCAGGTTTCAGCCCAATAGTAGAAAAAGTACCTTATAACAGTGAGAGCTGTGGAGGAGTGGAATGGGCAGCTTCATGAGAGGGAGCACTTCCTTTCCCTTGCTGAAAGTGTTCAGGGATTCAGCGCAAGACTAATTCCTGAATTACGTGGATGTGTGCACTGAATTACCTATGAGTCTTCCACTTTGAGAATTCTGGGAAGTGGGACTTATGCTGGGCCTGAAAGGCTGGGCAGATTTTAGTAAGTAGATCTGGAGGGAAAGGAGTCATTTCAGAGAGTAAACGCAAAGAAAAATATAAATTTGGAGTTGGCTTAACACTATCACTAGCAACTTCTCTTGAGAACTCACATTGTTTATGCTATTCCTTTTTCATTCTAGTCTCTATTAAGTCTTTTTCCGAAAAATAGAAACTTACTAGGTTTTTTACCCTGTTAGGTCATTATTTCCAGGTCATTCTCTCTTCACTGAGATCAAGACCAAATGGTTTATCCGTCTCAGAGATTGTTTTTAAGATTGCAAGTGGAAGAGATAGCCACTGTGGTCCTGATGTCATTCCTTTCTGTCTTCCTTAGGATCTTGTACAGTGATTTTATTTTCTTTTTTTTGTATTTTCAGTCCCTTTCATTAAAAAAAAAAAATATTTATTTACTTGCCTGCTCCAGGTCTTAGTTGGGTCACACAGGATCTTAGCTGTGGCTGTGGAATCTTTAGTTGCAGCATGCAGGAATCTAGTTCCCTGACCAGGGATCAAACCTGGGCCCCCTGGATTGGGAGCACGGAGTCTTAACCACTGGACCACCAGGGAAGTCCCTTCAGTCCCTTTCATTCTAAAGCCTTTTCTTTTAGCTGCTACCTACAAATCTGTTTGCGTCTCCCCTGCTCACAAGGTTGAGAGGTTTTCTCCTTCTCCACCAGATTTCTTGAGTAATTGAAAGGCCTTGTCTTTAGTTCCGCACCACCCCTCCCACCTTTTCTCAAGTCTTTGTTTTCTAGTGTCTACCCACAGCGGTTCACAGAAATTATGTGATCTCCCAACACCAAATTCTTCAATGCCTTTGTGTTGCCTACCAAATTAAAATTTGTGCAGGTTCCTTAGTTTGAGATTCACAGTGCCTTGTACCTTGTGACTGAATTACTGTTCCAGCTTTATCTTTCATTTTTCTGTTGCTTGTGTCCTGTGTTTCAACCAAAGACTAAACTTGTATTCTCCAAATATATCCTCTGTATCTTTGCTTATTGCTGCCCTACCTGCTACCCTTTCTTTTTTCCTTGTGATAAAACCTACTCAGCTCCAGTGCTACTTCCCTTAGGAAGTTTTCTATGGTTACTTTTTTTTTTTTTTGGCGATACGCGGGCCTCTCACTGCTGTGGCCTCTCCCGTTGCGGAGCACAGGCTCCGGACGCGCAGGCCCAGCGGCCATGGCTCATGGGCCCAGCCACTCTGCGGCATGTGGGATCTTCCCGGACCGGGGCACGAACCCGTGTCCCCTGCATTGGCAGGCGGACTCTCAAGCACTGCGCCACCAGGGAAGCCCTCTATGGTTACTTTTAACTCAATGTGATCCCTCTGTCCTCTAAGTTCTGACATTGGACCTTGCTTACGTTTCCCTTATGAGGGGTGTGTGTGTGTGTGTGTGTGTGTGTGTGTGTGTGTGTGTGTGTGTGTGTGTGTGTGATTTGTCCTTTTCTCCCTAGTTGATTATAAAGTGACTGATTTCTGGAATTATTTTATTTGTCTTGTTAGCACCACTGTGCCTCATATTTTACTAGAAACTGTCGACTCAGAGAAAAACACACAAGATGAGAGTTGTGAGTTTAAATTTTATTCAGGGTCTTGCTGAGGACTATAACCCGGCTAACAGCCACTCAGCCCTGAGGAAACTGCTCTGAAGAGGTAGGGGAGAAGACAGTTTATTTTATGTTATTTTATTTTATTTTTAAATTTTTATTGGAGTATAGTTGCTTTACAATATTGTGTTCGTTTCTGTTGTACAACAAAGTCAATCAGCAATGCATATACATATATCCCCTCTTTTCTGGATTTCCTTCCCATTCAGGTCACCACAGAGCAATGAGTAGAAGTTCCCTGTGCTATACAGTAGGTTCTCATTAGTTATCTATTTTATACATACTATCAATAGTGTATATAGAGAAGACAGTTTATATATTACTTTTGGCTAGGAAATAACTGCAAGTTAAGCCTACATCTTGGTAAAAGATTACTGCTAATCACAAAGAATAGATATCTCAAGTTAATGATTTTAGTGCTTTTCTATGTATGGGAAGGTGCAAAAATCAGGGGTGATTAAAATTCTTCCTGAGATATACATCTACAAAGGGCCTGCTTTGTCCAAAGCAGAGGGCCTCATCCTGTTGTTAATTTCCTCTCAGAGTGCACTGGTGGTCAGCAACTGTAGTGGGTTACGATG